AGCAAAGGGGTCAAGACCAGGCTGGAGAAAACCACAGAAACAGCTGAACAAGGGGGAGCTCGTGGACCCCAGACTGTTAGCTGGGAAACCAGTATAGGGCTGTTCTAGACTCCCTTCCCCCCAACGAGGATGTCAGTTTGAAGGTCTGGACAATCTATGGAGCCACTGGTAGTGGATCAGTATTTACCCCTAGCACACAAATGGGCTTTGGGAGCCCACTCCACATAGAGGGATACTTTCTCAGTCTAGACACACTGGGGAGGGTCTAGGCCCTGCTCCAAATGATATGACAGACTTTGAAGGTCCCCCATGGAAGGCCTCGCCCTCCCTGGGGAGCAGAAAAGGGTTGGGATGGGGGATGGGTGGGGGGCAGGGAGGAGGGGAGGGAGAGGGAACTGAGATTGACATGTAAAAGAAGCTTGATTCTAATTTAAATTAAAAAGTATATAATGGAATCTCACTGTAGTTTTGTGTTTAATAAGTCAGTAAAGATCTAGGTCAGCCTGAGCTAGTGTGAGATGTACCTCAAAACTCTACTGTAAACTGTAGTTCATACCTTTAATTCCAGCATTTAGTAGGCAGAGGCAGATGATCTCTGAGTTCAATGCCAGCCTGGTCTACAGAGCAAGTTCCAGGACACCCAGGGCTACATAGAGAAACCCTGTCTCGAAAAAACAAATAAATAAATCCAAAGTCCCCAGATGATATATTACTAATGTATAAGGGCTGTCATTACATGAATTTACTATGGTTTTCGGTAAACATAATAATACTGAGATTAATTTTCTTGACAATGCCATTCCTCATAGAGGAAGAAGGGTGAACACTGTCTAATGCCTTCCAAGAACAGACAAACTAGGCTTCAGAAAACTAAAACTTTTGTTCCTCAAAATCTACCAGCAAGTTAGGAAAACCAGACACAAAAAAGCTAAACAAATAAACAAACACAGAGTAAGGTGCTGGCAAGACAGCGCAACAGTTTCTAGCATGCTTATTGCTTCTGCAGACCTGAGCTGGATTCCTAGCATCCACAGCAGGGGATCACAACTACCTGCAACTCCAGCTCAGGGAGATCCAGAGCCTCTGGCATCCAAGGGCACCTGCAGTCACATGCACAAACCCACAAACACTACTTTTAAGATAAAAATATACTATAAAGCACCACATAATGAGAAAAACGTTTGTATAGCACAGGCTATCAAACCATCACGTGTGCCACCTTATGACAGTAGATACCAAACTTACATCTATAGCCTGTAAAGAGATCCTATGACTCAAATAGAAACCAACTGAAACCAAGCAAAGGGTCTGAGTAGATGTTTCTTTTCTATATAGATGAATAAGTACATGAAAAGATGCTCACCATCTTTCATCATTAGGAAGTACATGGTAAGATACACATACTAAGATGGCTAAAATAATAAATACATCACTGATGAGAATGCAAAATGGTATAGAGTATCTTTGAAAAGTTTGGTGGTGCCTCAAAATAAAAAAAAAAAAATCACTTCTAGTGAAAAAAAATCACTTCTAGGCATACATACAACAGAACTGAAAACCATGTTCACACAGACTTGTACACAAACATTCACACTGGAATTACCTAAGATTAAAAGGTATAAATATCCAAATGCCTTTTATCAGCTGATAAAATGGGTATGTACTACATCCACACAAAGGAGTGTTATTTAGCTATAAATTAGAACGAAGTACTAATACAGGAATCATGATAAATCTTGAAAACGTTAGGGAAATTAGATCCCCAAGGCAACATATGTGATTCCATTTTGTCCCAGTT